AGAAGACGAAAATGATGAAAAATGAATTTGCACAACCAACGACAAATAGAATGAGAGATCAAATAGAAGTCGCTGAATATTTCTGTTTTGGACAGCTAATCGCGTCAGACCATTACTTAGATCCGGAGCTTGTTAGTAGGCGTCTTGCGACATGGAGTATATAACAAAGAAGCCCTGACGTTCTTAAAAACAGAAAATTATCAATTGTGGATAGAAGAACCATATTTCATGAGAGTCGTATTAGTTCAGTATTGTTGCTAGAGACCTGAACATTAATGAAAAAGGATGAAGAACTTTTCCGAGTTCTGTAGCACGCTATGAAAAGAACGAGCTATGAATGTCCATTACAGACAAGCTGCGGAATAAAGGTCGTTTGTGTAAGTTTGGCAATGGAGCGGTCACATCATACGACCAATGGATAACCAGTCGACTTCGCCAGTCACCGATTGGTATCCAAGAGGCTGCAAGTGTCCAGTTAAAATACCACGAGTCAAAAGACAGGCATGTAAACCTATGTTAAACTATACGACACGAACGAGCGTGGGCATCGGGACTAAGCAAGAATAATCAAAGTTGTTCAAGCAGTCATGAGTCAGTTGTTGTTCCCTACATTATTATATGGAACTTTTTACCGAGGTGCTGTGTCAAACCCGTTGCTGACGAAAAGCAAGTTAGTATCGAAACTCGCTGATTTGAACCATAAATCGAAAAAGGAAAAGATTATTTTCTGTTGTTTTATTTCATTCATGCAGTATAAGTTTATGGGGATATTTCATATGATCATTTGCCGCTTTAGAGTATAAACTAAAAAATTCTAATTCAAATGGAAGTTGACCCGTTACTTTGTTTCGAACTGACGAAGTTCTTTCGTCAACCAAGCCAGATGGTACATTACTGGTTGCTAAGGAGATTTTGTTTCGCTGGCACAAGAATTACCTGATATTGAGCTGGATTTTTCAGAGGTTTGGCAATGAACAGTTTTTAGCCATACGGACCTTGGTGTGGCTAGTGTTGTAACGATGCATTGCTAGAAGAGGCTGGCAGCCGTTACGCTAAGTTGATAACATTGGCCATTAAAATTATATTGCTGACAGTATGTCTTGTGAACACCATTTCCATTGTCCATGGAGTCTTTTGGCTATGTCCGTTACGTCCTATCTACTTCCGCAGAAGTTTTCTAAAGTTTGCAGTCTCTCAGTAACGTAGTTTTGTTCTGTTCAACCTTTGTATAGGCTGGTTGAAAGTAATAATGAGAAACCCAGAGGCGCCCTGAATAAATAATGCTTATTGTTGGTATATTGATTAGAACATTGCTCTGCATCCTGTGCTTGAACGTCTTAGTTCCTTTTGTTGGCTTTATGTAGCATACAAATTATAAACCGCGCTATAGACTACTTTTACTTGAACATTACTGGCAGCTTTGTTTCTATTTAGATGTTCGTTACGACTTGTTTTGTAGATATCTTACCTGAAAGCTGAATCTCGATTGAAGAGCCACGCTTTTTATTCAGGTGGCTTTCCTTTCTCTTCGTCTCGATGGCAAACAAGCTATGGCGCTTCGGCGATTATTCTGATATTGCTGATGTTCCACTGTGTGATGCTACTGGCCGAAGCTAACGTTTTGCGGTTTGCAAAACGTAGTTTTGTACTTTAGTGAGTTGTTTCTGTGTATATGCATACTTCGCTACAGAGGGCTCTGTATAAGCTAACGAATATGCATTTTCCGCAGAACCCATTTTGCCTTGATCTAAACTTCTTACATTCCATTGCAGTTTTTTAATGTATGTCACTTTCTGTTACGGTTACTAATTATTTTAATGATTTATTGATTTTCAAGATTGGTTAAGTTCAACTTCTCATATCTTGTAAAGTACAACACTAGTTTTGCAATGCTACCATGTACGAAAGTTAAATTCATTGAAGTACGCCGTTGCAAAATAGAAGTAAATTTTTTTAAATATTCAATGGTGGTTTCGTAATGTTTGAAAATGTTCATCATTTTATGGCTTTGTTAATATTTAGTTATTCTACAATGGAAATATCCTCAGTAGAGATCCAGTGTCAGTAACTTCTTTACTTCAGTGATTATAGACACGAAGAAGCTACACTGTCAAAAGACTTTATTCAAAGCCGATACCTGAGACAGCAGTCATGCTGTCATTTGAATAGCTGTCACAAATCTTTTAACTGTAAGCCCATAACTGACCTACGCGTTACACAGTTAGATATTTCATATTTCTTTCTTCCTCCAGCAATTGCAGCCCTCCAGGTTTACGCATGTAAAAACATAGTAGAGCTGTTTAGAAAGAATTTTCAGATGAATGACAGAAAAAATAAGTATAATAAGGAACAACATAAGCGTGTAACTTGCAACATGACTATCCAAAAATACGGCTAATAATCCTCAGCCAACAGTTACCATCGGACGTCGCATTTTGTTTATTTAAGTACGAGGTTGTGCCGCAAAGTCAGGTAGGAAGTCTGCGCCGCCTTCTCGAGTTGTGCCAGTTCAGTGACCGTAGCAGCAAGGAGACTTGTGTGTCCCTTGTAGCCGGAGCCTAAACACCACAAAGAAAACTGACGACTCTCCACTGCACTTCGTACCGGTTGCCATTCGCTTTTGACCATATACCACTTTTCCATCAAATTCGTCTGAAGGAACGTTAATTTCTGGATCAGTCTGCGGAATCGTCACCCCCAAGTGCTCTTCGATGTCTGCTAACATCTAAAATATTACAAGTTTAGTGAAAATGTCCATTAAACAAAGCATTTACCTCAGTCTCGTTAAGCCACAAGCCACAGCCTCCTTGTTCTACGAGTGTAGTGTTGTTACAGCCTTTGCCACGCGTATTACATTGATGATACCACACCTCAAATAAAATAATGAGCACGATGAGAAGAAACTACGACGGCGAATCAATATCATGTAATATGAGATAGATGGATCAGCGGATGAGTATTCTTTCTTGACTAGGTGCCGTTGGTAGATTATACATTAGCATAGTCTTGCTGAGAAAAACCTGAGATGATTATACAGTATTCAAAAAACAAAAAACAATCGGTCACGAACGTTTTTAAGGATATATAAGAAATTAAAAATCAAAATGCTAAGACGATAGACAAAACGTTATCAGCTAAAAATACATAAATACGCTAATCATCGTTTTCGTTAATATAATTTTAACTGGTTTATAATTAGTTTATAAGTGGATTAGGAGGACGCTGTTAAAAATGCGTTGGACTGATTAATGAAGACCGGAAACGAACTTTCTGGTGAACACGAAACGTTCAACCAGCTGTCGGTGAGAAGGCTGCATTCTAGTGGCGGCTTGTAAGCAAAGAGCCTTCAACTCAAATGCTGTAAGAATAGGCACGCATTACGACGGAAAAAGCGAAAGTCGACTCCTGAAAAAAGATCTGTGAGGTGTTAGAATCGACTTTTCAGACGGCAAGCATGATATTTTAGCAAACCATCCTCTGTTCATGAGATGGAAAGGGACGTTTAAGAGTCTTGGTAAGTCTTCTCATCAAGGAACAGAATATACTTCGGCGATGGAGGGAGTATTCTGAGGAACTCCTTAATCAAGATGTACACTCGCATGAAGAACTAGTACCTCAGTAGATGAAGTCTAGAAAATTTTAAAGTGGAAGGCTGCGGAATCGATTAAACTAGATCTGAGATGCTCAGGGGACTATAAGGGGACTTCATTGCTTTCATGTTCAACTTTCAAAGAACACAGTGGTTAATACGTGTCTGTGAGACTGCAACGACGACTTATTAGTAGA